TAATCAAAACAAAGGCAGTAACTCCAAAACACTTTACAACAACATTTTTGGCTAAGCTTCAAATGAATAGCAGTTAAAATATACCTGGGAGGAGGAGGGGAATACAGATGTAAGAGCAAGGCAAGATCTAGCTAGAATTTTTAGTCCTAACAAAATGCATTTAAAAATATCATGGGAGTGATTGTATACTAGAATTCATTAGCTTTGTGCTCATAAATTATCTCTATCCTTACCATTTTTAAAAATTTTCCCCACACCCCCTTTCCGGTCCAATGTGCTTCCAAAAATCTAAACTGTGTTTTATTACTGTCAGGAAACAGCATAGCTACAGAGCGAGGATTGACTTGTCCAAGAACCACTAGTGGAAATTCAGTTAATAAAACTGCCGATATCAAAAATTAGTAGAATGGATAGTCTACACTTTGTATAGTTCATATTTTGGCACATCTCATCAGTTCATATAACTAGTTATCTTCATTAAAAATAACATGGTTTTACACATTTTTAATACGAGAAACTGTTCAGTAGAGTATCTCAGAGGTGATACAAATTATGCAATGCTATGGTGATTCTCAGTGTTTTACTGGAAAATGTTATTGCTTAGGAATGAAAGGGTCAGTTATGGGCCTAATCTTGAAAGAGAATCATCAACTCGCTCCCCTTGACTTACAGGAAATACTCACTCAGCACCTCAGATAATCAGACCCTTTGCCTCCTCTTCTGGATAGCTGTTTTCCAAGTTTAAAACAGCAAGTTAGCTGCATTCTCCCCAACCCCTCTCCAAGAAAAAACACTGAAAAAATGGTTTAGAATGTACTCATTTCCCTCTTTGCTTTTTCACATTTACTGTCTCTGATACTGTTTGTGGAGCTCAGTTGCATACGTTTTGGTTTGGGGGGCTTTGTGTGTAGAATAGATTTCTGTTTTAGTGAAGATTGAGGCGCAGTGTTTTCCAGTTATTAGAACAATCACGGGGGATTTAGGATGCCTGAGGTTCTATTTCCAGCTTCACCACTGTCTTGCTTAGTCTCCATAGTGCCTGAGTTTATCCATCTCTAAATGGGGATAGTACGTAATGTACCTACCATGCAGGATGGATATGGAGCTTAATAAATGTTTGTAAAGCACTTTGAATAAGTCTTGAGTTGTCTGGTTTTATTCCCTGTTTCATCATGTATTGTGTACTGCTTCCCAAATGATTAGTGAATCAGAAATTGAATCATTTCCCTTGTGAGAAATCTTGTATATTCTCTCAGAGAAAGGAGTACATGAAAATGCCATGTCTTCATCTTTTTTATTTTCCTTCACTTGATCAGCCATTAGTAACTTAGCGCTAGATTTTTATTTTTTTCCCTATGTTATGGCTTCTGTATCAATTCTCATCCTTTTTTTTTTTTCCCCCTCTCACAGTCATACCAGTCCAATTACATGGACCAAATGAAGCCAAACAAATACAGTGTCATTTATCCTACCCCAAATATGTTGCACAATAAATTCTATCAAACCCCAGAAGGACTATCTAATGGAATCCAAATGGAGCCAGTTGACCTTACAGTGAATAAACGAAGCTCACCACATTCAGCTGGAAGTTCTCCTTCTCCTCTGAAATTTCAGACTATACATAGAAGAGCCTCACCTGGATTAACTTTGTCCTCACCCAGCCCACCTATGAAAAAATTCACCCCACCACCTCCCCCAGGAGTTCAACCTTTTTCCATGCCATTAACAATCCCTCCAGTAATGGCTGCTCTTTCACGCCCTGGACTTAGGAGCCCTGGGATACTTCCAATTATACAGCCACTTGTGGTCCAACCTGTTCCTTTTATGTATGCTCCACATCTCCAGCAACCTATAATGGTGTCTACTGTTCTTCCAGAAGAGTTGGAAAATCCAAGTAGCATGCAAGGTGGGTGCTGTTGTGCTATGTTTCTCCTTTATGCGGGACCGGTGCTCTTTTATGCAGCGCAGTTGCCCTGGGCGCCAACTTCCGGGGGCTTGCTGTACTGCTGTGCCATTCAGTGGTTTGGGGTTGTTTTTGGGGGGAGGGGACGTGTTCCTCCACTCCATTCAGCTGGCTATAGGGGGAGGAGTTGTTTTGTCGTTTTAGTTTGCTTTGGTGTGGTGTGGTTTGTTTTTTTTTGTTTTGCTCAGTTGCTGGGGAGAAAGAGGGGGCATGACATATTTTCTTCCAGCAAAACAATTAGGGCCACTACTCCTTTTTTGCTAGTCAGATCTAGAAAAATAACTGTATCCATGAGTTTTTTAGGATAAGTCAAAATATTTTGAAGGGAAATGAAAAAGGGAGACAAATATTCTTTTGTCTTCTTCTAAAACACACAATGCCTAGAGTTTACTGTGTGAATATTTTCCCCTAGTCTTACTGGATCAAATTCTGCTCTCATTGATACCCATATAAATATATTGATATAAATAGAAGTAATCTAGATTTGAACTGGTATACATAAGAATAGACTTGTGTTGCATTCTAATTCCTCACGAGGTAGACTGAAAATTGAAAAGTCTTGTATTCTAATACGAGTCTTGATGCAAGATATCATGTTGTTAGTTTGGGAGGTTTTGTACAGATTTTGTCTTTCCTTTAACTCACATAACTCTTTATATATTTGATTTTTTCCCCCTCTAGTGCCTGTAATTGAATCTTATGAGAAGCCCACATTAAAGAAAACAATCAAAGTAGAACCAGGAATTGAATCACCAAGGACCGAGTTCTATCCTGAACAAATGTCTCCTCCAATGATGACTTCCTTGTCTCCTCAGCAAATAATGTTGCAAGAGTAAGTAATTAGTCCTAAAGTATCTATCTTCAGTTGAACAATGAAACATACTGCCTTGCTGTACATTGGGTTCCATATACGGAAGCTACAAAATATAGGTTCTTTGAGGGGAAAGCTACTGTACTTTGAAACATGTGGTAAAAAATCATAAATAAGGGTTGCGGATTGTAAATGAATTGGGTTTTGTGCTTAGTTTTTTCCTCCTCTACCCTTCAGCCTCAACTTTGTTTCAGCAGTGTAATGGTTAGTATGCATTCTATGTACATGTGAACTACATAGATCTTCTATATTTGTATAATGTGTTCCTAAAGTAATATGGGGCCCAGTCCTGCAAACCACTACAAATGGAGCTTCTAGTGCAGTCAATAGTAGTTCTTCCTGTAATAGTCTCGCAGAACTGGGCCCATATTTAAACAGGTATTAAACTCTGGTAACCTGGAAAAATATTACACTGGGGATGGGGTGAATTTTTGTGACCTTTTCTTAGAGAAGGAGCAACACCTCTTGGTGGTAGCAGGCCTTTGATATTTGCTAGGGAGAAACCCCTCGGGTTACAGAAATGCCTTTTTTGTCCCATGTAACTCCATTCAGATCTACCTCAGTTGTAGTGTTAAAAAAATCACCATTTCCTCAGGAAAATTCTGGCAGCCGCCACAGCCACTGAACATTCTAGAGAGCCTGGTCCATGCTTCTGCCAAAGCAGCAGACTCTATGCTGGGAATGCCAGAACAGTTATAGCAGTAGTTGGGGGAGAGCTGGGCTGGGCTTCCCCCCAATAATCCCTCCATCCTCGACAGCCTGGCACATGAAGCATCCCCACCAGAAGCATCATATGGGACAGGAGTCCCCCACGTCCCAAGGGTGGGGGGAGAGAGAGCCAAGCAATAAACCCCTGGATCTAGTAGCCTAGGGTGAACCAGAGAGAATGAGCTGGGCTGGACTCCCCTTGATCACCCCCTGGACCCAGCATCGGGCACCAGCAGCCCTTCCTCTACTCTGGCATATCAGCCTTCTACTGCCATGTAGTGTTTTTAGTCCTGCTGTAGTGCTGAAGGCTCATGGTTCAGATCCTACTATTGATGCATGATAGGGAGGTCATTTGTACAGAATAGTTTTTAACTTTGTCCTTTCAAAAAAAACCTAGGATATCATATACAAAATATTGCATTAAACTAACATTCTTTTAGTTGCAAAATCAAGCACTTGAAAGTTAGGAAAGTCAGATTTTGAGTTTCCCATGCAACCTTAATTTGGTCCCCTTCTGAAAATGCATTATTATATTTATATAATAACATACTATTTTTCCACAGGACCCTTGCCTTATTCAGTGCATGGGATGTACATATAAGGGGACTGAATGAAGGTGGCACAAGCAACCATAAATCTGGCATTTTCTAACTCTTGAGTGCTTGAATTTGCTATTGGAATATTGGAGGGGGGGGTTGTATGTAAAATACATAAAAGCCATTGATGTCTTACAATGAGCATTGGTGGGTTGTACAATCTAGCTATATTAACCCACATCAACGTCTTTTGTATGGGAATTAAAGAAATATCAGAGTTCTCCCTTTAAATCAAAGTTCATGTATTGTTCTCAGACTATTGCCATACACAGACATGGTTGAAACGTAATATGAAGCCTTAATTTTGTGTTTTCTTGTTTGTGTGAAATCAAAGTTTGACTCATGCTACCATCATCACGTGGGCTGTGGGTGTGGGGACAAGGCCGTGCTTAAATAAACTGTCATAACATGATTTTTGGAAGACATTCTTAGTTGTTTGAGGAAAAACACCCACATGTGCAAGGCTCAAATAAATTCAGATATGCTTGTGTAAGCAGAGACAAGACCTTGTGGAATTACAGATGATCTTTTATTTCAGCAGTTACTTAATGTTGGCCCTTCTTCCGACACCATTGTCTCATTTCTTAAACCAGTGTCCCCCTCTGGAAATCACTTGCAGAATTCTGTAGTCTTGCAGCTTGGCTTCCCAATGGAAGAGGAATAAGAGAGAGAGTCTGCATGTACTCTAAGGCTTGGTCCACACTGGGGCGGGGGATCAATCTAGGAAACGCAACTTCAGCTACGAGAATAGCGTAGCTGAAGTCGACGTTTCCTAGATCGAACTAAGTTTACTTATTGCGGGTCCACGCGGCGCAGGCAAGCTCCCCCGTCGACAGCGCTTCCTCCTCTCGGCAAGCAGGAGTTCCTCAGTCGACGGGGGAGCGCTTCTGGGATCGATTTATCGCGTGCAGATGAGACGCGATAAATCGATCCCAGAAGATCGATCTCTACCCGCCGAATCAGGTGGGTAGTGTGGACCTAGCCTAAGTGTAACTTGCTTTATTTACACACCTATACCAGTCTGGAACAAAGGCCATCACAAACTGCATGCAGGCAACCTCCTTTTTCACCAGTGTCAGCTTGCACACCAATGCCTACTTCTCAAGAAGCTGGTGTCTCAAGAATTGCCTCCAAATCCAGAGAATAAAGCAGAGAATTTACTCTCTTCTGTCTGCCACAACATCTGTCAAAGGACTACTGAATAACAAAACTAACAATAATAGAACATTTTTTCTAAGACTAAAAACTTGCTCACATTCTAGGAACATGTAGGACTGTGTAACAGCATCATCTGGTGACCCCATCATAATATTTTAAATACATTTAATATGATGTTGAACAACAAATCTTTCCATCGCTGGGCATGCTTTTTTGAGTTACTCATGGCACCTTAGGCTCACAGAGAAGTCACCAAGTATATACAGGACTCAGAGCAGTGGTGGGCAACCTGCGGGCCGCATGCGGCCCATCAGAGTAATCCGCTGGCGGGCTGCGAGGCAGTTTGTTTACGTTGACTGTCCGCAGACATGGCCGCCCGTAGCTCCCAATGGCCGTGGTTCACTGTTCCTGGCCAATGTGAGCTGTGGGAAGTGGCACATTAAGTTTCACTTAAAAGCTAGAAAATATTTAAGAGTGTGTAATATGTATTCATTAATCAGTTGGAAAATGTGTCCAGTGAAGCTGTGTGATTTAAAAGGCCTATCTGTTTAAAAAAATATATTTTGCTCTTTTCCTTCCTCTAACATTGGCATAGAAGGCAGGTTCATGGCTGGTCCCAGTGATTTTTATATGCAGCTGATAATATCCTTAGAAAGGTGTGTTTATTCACATATACACATAATTGTTTATATATATATATATATATAAAAAATTGTACATGCAAAATATATATGTCTTACCTGAATAGTACCTGTGGGGTTAAAGGCGAAAAAATCATGTTTATGAAGGTGGCGTGCCAATTTCAGACATCCTGTGGGTGTGACATGCAGTCTAAACTCTACTTTTAGGAATTGACGTCAGTCGTAAAGGGAGGCCGCACCCTTCTGCCAGCACCAAACAGGAAATTCTTAATTACTCTCTAAAGGAGTGGCTGGAACAATAAAGACTCTGAGTTCTGCTTTAAGACTAAAGATATGATGTCTTTAATAATATGGAAAAGCTGTTTTAAATTAAAAACAAATTAGCTGCCTTCTAAGGAAGAATAAAAAATGTAAATAAAAGCAATGAAAGTTAACTGGAAACTCAGTGAGAGAGTTTGGAAATCCTGTGCGTACTTGCCTGAGAAACAAGAGTCTGACTTTCATTCCTTTATAAGTAAAAATAAATTAAAATCCAAGCATGCCGAGAAGAATATCTTTGGTTTTGCTCATGCCACAAAGTGAATAAACTCAAAAGAGGAAAGAATCAAAATATTACTGCTAAAATCTACGAAATTTGCTAAGCCTTCTTAAATTCTTTTACATGCATGTAATGTAGTTCACATTGCCAAGAGACAGAGTGGTAGTGAATAAAGGGGCTCTATTGTGGATCATTGCAATCAGGTTTACTTTGTCAAATACCTTTCATCAGTCATAACCTATAACTTCACTTCATAGGAATCACCCTTCAGTTATAGTTCAGCCGGGAAAGAGACCTTTACCTGTGGAATCTCCAGACACACAAAGGAAACGCAGAATACACAGGTGTGATTACGAAGGTTGCAACAAAGTCTATACTAAAAGCTCCCACCTAAAAGCTCACAGAAGAACGCATACAGGTATGAGTCTTGGTACACTTTCCTTTCATCCATATTGGTCTGGATCAGTCAAGGCTAGACTTCTAGTGTCTGCAGAAGACCAGCTCTAGATATATAACAGGTGCTTCAGGCTTTTTCAAACAAAAGGAAATATATGGGCTAGCATAAATTTATCTGAATTGTTCTGTTTAAAGTAAAGACCACCAAGACAACATTCTAAAGAAAGAACAGGTAAAGCAATCTAAATGTATCTCCTTCTGCCAACTCACTGAGTCCTAGTCACATGTCCCAGGAAGTCCCATCATGTAGTGATAAAATCTTCCCTTTAGTCCGGGTTGGCTACAGAAACCCAAGATTAAAATTCAGTGGTAATGGTAGGTTACATGTCAGGTATAAATGGTGAAGTCATGCAGGTTAGACAGGTTTGACATTCATTTGGGTTTGCAAAATGAGTGACAGGGAATGGATCACTTGATGATTACCTGTTCTGTTCATTCCCTCTGGGGCACCTGGCATTGACCACTGTTGGAAGACAGGATACTAGGCTAGATGGACCTTTGGTCTGACCCGGTATGGCCGTTCTTATATTCTTATGTTAAAATGTGTGTAACATAGGGTATGTCTACAATTGGAGCTAGGGGTGTGAAAGCTCAAGGAGAAATACTCACACTAGCTCTGATTGAACTAGCACACTGCAAACAGAGTGCAGCCACAACCACATGAGCAGTGGGATGGGCTAGCCACCCATGCCCGTGGTCTCAGATGGGTACATACTCTAGGCATCCCATCCTGCCCGCTGTGCTGCTCTGGCAACAATCTATTTTTAGCACTCTAGGTCAGTGAGAACTAGTGTATGTCTCCTTGAGCTGGGAATAACACCCCTCACTCCAAGCATAGATATGCCCTTACAGGCCATGGAGTAGAAGGGGGATGGAGCAGGAAAAGCAGCT